CCTGTGACGGAGAGATCACGACTCGGTTTGACATCTGACTTTAATCAACTAACTGTCTGGCCTCGAAGCACGGCGGTAAGGAGACAACACAGTGCTGACAGCTTTATAAATTGATTTTGTTCTATTCTCCCCTACACTACCGACCGGTTCGTCCTCAGCTCACTTCTTTGACACAAAAACAAGTGAGAGTAACGAGGAACAGGATTGTTAAGTCGACGGTAAGCTTAAATTCCATGCTGGGACCGGCTAATTGCATGTGTCTCGGGTAGACGTGTCTTGGTTTATTTTGTCTTTTATTTGCGATGTGAACGTTGGACATTGTAAAACAAGGAACCGGAAATTGTAGGTTGTAGGAAGAGCTTCAGACGAGGCATTGTACCCTTTCGACAGCGCCTTAAGTTACCTACTAAAATGTTTAGCGACAGACCTCGAGAATTAGCAAGACCACGAATGAATAGCCCTGTCTTAAAACCTGTAAGCATGTCATAATTTTCAAGCATTTTATTTTCTGCCCATAGTTTCTCTGTTTCGCCTTTGTTACTGCTACATTTAAGTCGGGTTATTTTAACTCTGAAGCATACATATACGTAATCAGCCTATTATAAATTAATTGAAAGTTACATATAATATAATTATTGGTATATGCATATTATGTATTTGTTTCTCACTATTGGCTCCTTATCCCAATGAAGTTACTCAGTCAAAAGTAATATTATAAAATTTACCCTGGAACTTGAACGTTATGATACCACACATCGACATCGTCTGGTAATCACCCCTGCTTCATACTCGGGAGCTCCGGGGTTCAAATCTCGGCCAAGATTTCGGTTACCCTGACTCATGTTTATCGTTTGTGGTTTTCCCACAGTCTCTCTAGGCAAATGCCGGTAGAGTTCCTAAACTTTTCTCCAGAGACGGCTTCCTCCAACATGGTTTTCATCTCATTTATTAATTACCCTATCACTACATAGTCCAAGCTACTTACAGCGTCGTTAAATAAACTACAAATAAGTTCATGCAAATTAGACAAGAATGTTGATGGAAATTTTTCATGTTGACTCTCTCTGTTGTTAAAAGATTAGAAACATGAGCGTCAATATCCAATTAGCCTTTCAGAATGTAAATATCAACAACTGTGTTATTTCGGATGACATCGAAGTACCTCACTCTAAGTTTTTCATTATTTATATAAGTAACACGTATTTAATACAGCGTGACAGAAGCCTAATGTTTTAGCTCACGCGTCCACATTCTTATGTAATAGGGCAATGCAAATGACCTACCTCAACCAGCAATTTGTCCACCAGTTTGAGTGGGCCTTTGACCTGCATACGCCAAACTGAACTGATGCTTTTGTTTACAGGTGCTCTCCCTTGCCGCCATATTGTTCCCGCGCTCTGCTACCCAGAACAACGAATCATCCTCGGTGAATCACCCTGGCAACAAGGACCATCTGTACGTGTAGGTACAATGTGCCGCCATTTTGTATGTTCGTACAAAAGAGTTAAAATGTTCAACTAGCAACCAAAATCTACGACAAACTTAAAAACATGGCTGATTAATTTGAATGTTTTTTAAGAGCAGTAACAAGCATCATGCTTAAAACGAAATGTAAGGAAGGTTTAGTTCCAAAAATACTTCTATTTAGATAAAAACACTGAACATATAATAATAATTGTCTCGGGTGCATAGAAGTAAACGCCCTATAAAGTGGTGAATAGATGGGATAATAATTCAATTCATTTATTTAAGTGCTTGACAGCAGCCAAGCACTAAACCAGAGTACAGGATAAAATATAATAAATAATTAAATAATAATAATATCTTGAAATACAAGGACCTTCTCATAGAAATACAGAGAATGTGGAAATTGAAAGCAAAAGTAATCCCAGTAGTTATAGGAGCGACAGGAACTGTCTCCAGGTCACTTAGGAAATATTTGGCCAACATCCCGGGCGAACACGACATCAGGGAACTGCAGAAGACCGCCATTTTGGGAACTTCATACATCATTCGGAAGACGCTTTCATAAAATAAAATTATATAATACATGTGGCACTTGCTAAAAACAATATGGATCCCGGCAATAGCTGCTGCCCTATGTACCTTAGGGACAAGGTCTGTCTCGGGTACATGGAAGTACATACCCCATAAAGTGGTGAAGAGATGTGATAATAATAATAAGGGCCTCTTGGTATACGATATATAGGTTGTGAGATTTTTTTGCTGATATGAAATATGGAGGGAGAAAGTATGTAGGCCGACTTAATCGAAAGAGCTTCGAAACATGTTTCTGAATGAATGATTAAATGAATAATGTATGACATTTATGCAACGACCTTGCCAGCAGCTCAGACTGCATAACATGAATAATGGGATGATTAATATTGTAAAATAATATTGAAGTAAGCGGTCTGACCCAATTTTAGGTACTATCACAGCATTTATTGAGTGAAATCACAAAGCAATTCAGGATAACCGGTCTACGGATCGAGATCTGAACCCAGGGTATTCAGTATATGAAGGAGGAATGCTAACCACTGGACCGCTGCATTCAGTAGCTCACGTGCTGTTGCCCGAAAACAAGTACCTGATTCAAGGAGATTGAAATAACCTTGGAGCAGTTTGCATTTTATAAACGATGATTGATTTTTTGTGGTGAAACTGTTTTACGAAATCAAAAGTATATAGTCTTGTCAGTGTTATATTAGGTAAAGTTTATATTCAAGAACAAAACGAAATTTAGCTAATGAATTAGCGTTCTGGGCTCTCGGACATTCGACGGAATTCCACTGCAAGTATTTATTTATTGCTTCTTTCAATTTTAAATGTCATACGCAGTACTAGCCTTTTGTCATCTCCCAAGCTGGAGGACGACCCATTTTCGGCTGCCCGCAACTGCGGGTTTCAATAAAATGCGGTGAATTTCTTGATTATGTAAACGTATTTTAGTTCCGCTACACGTAGTTAGTTAATTACTGAATATTACTGTTATCATTACTTTATTTTTTAGAAGAACCGATTCTGTCTGAGTTAAGGTTGTATGCTATAACGTTCAAGCTTCTTGTTCGTCACATCCTTGTAACTTGCAGACTTTCAAACTGTATTTCACGTATGTGTCGGTATGTTTATGATTGTCTACACAGTTTTAGTTTTCATCATAGGTCCAGCGGTTCGTTAGTTACATCTGTCAAATTAAAGCTGGGTATTTTTCATACTGCTGTAAAATTGTTGTTTTCAAAAACGTGCCTTAAAAGCGGGATCATTTTTCGAATATATGTTTCTATATCAAATATTACGACACCATTACGTGTCACTAGTGTCGTTCCCATATCTGAAGTTACAGCATCCGCCATGATGTTACCAACTATAGAAAATTGAATGTTACTAGGTCAGAGTTTCGAGGAAAGTGGGCTACAAAACTATTTTTATACCGGATCTAAAAATTACAGTTATAATTCTCGGGGTTTTTTTTGTTTTGTAAATGCTAATATAGGACAGCGTACTCCAGAACACTCGTCGACATTATCATTTTGTTTTGGGATTTCTAGGCGAGTGTACGAAAATTGGTAGTAGGTGTCAGAGAGAAATGCCACACCCTTATCTCGATACACTGCTTACAAATAGAGTAAAAGTCGATCGGTATCTTACTCAGATATAGCTGGCTGCCATTATCGAAACTCAGCAGGATCCTTAATCAATCTGATCTTCTGCTCAAATAGAGAAAAGTTTTAAATTCGGGGGGGGGGGGGGGGGGGG